GGCTCTTTTCAGTTTATTGCATGAAGGAGTTACACTAGTCCAAGTTAAAAGCAGACCCCAAATGGTTACATCATACAAGCGGTGAGGTTTTTAAACTTGTGACAAGGGACAGAAGGGAAATTCTACTCATTGCAAGGAAATCCTCACTTAAGCTTCAGTGAGCCAAAAGCACTTAAAACCCATGAACCTTCAGCTGGTCGTCCTTAGCCAGTCCAATCTCTACGAGGAACTGACATATGTTCTTGCGCTGGTCACCCTGTAGCTGAATCACTTCTCCATATTCTGGATGCTCAATTACAGTACCATTGCAGGCAAATTTCTTCTTAAACGCCTTCACCAATTTCTTTTTATCGTAATCATCAGCGATCCCTTGGACAGTGGTAAGGGTTTTCCTGCCGTTTCTCTGTTGAATTCTTATATGGATATAATCTTCAGTGCCAGCAGGAAGCAGATCATCACCCTTACTTGCATCAGCAAAGGGGTCGAAAGAGTGGAGGTTCTGGATAGCGGACATACGATACGATTCCTTTTCCTCGGTGGAAACGGCCTGCGGAAGGCGGCGGCGGGAGAAGGCGGGCAGGGGGGATGGAGCGTCGGGAAGCGAGGGGGCTCAAGGGGGAGGCTACTGAGTCCTCGGCGGCGGCTCAGTGACTGGGGCCAGAATTAATATTGAAGTTAAGGAACAAGCTGCAAAAAAGAATGAAGTGACTTGAAAACAATTCCATGCATTTGTACTCTTCCTGGAAGAATTTTATCTTAATCTGGAGATCAAGGGAAAAAACAGACCAGGTCATGAAAGCAGGCCTTCTTCAGGAGATGCTGGATGCCCTTTTTCCTAACACTCCAGACAAATTAATTTGTGCAGTAGTGTTACTGAAGTTGACAGGGTCAGTTTGAAAGATGCTGGAAGGAAACAGGAAAGACTGATGTGCAAGAAATTATTTGGAGAATTGAAAATGTCATCCTAGATGCAAATAGCCACAGAGATGTAAATCAGATGCTCCAGAAACTTGCAGAACGCTGGTCAGGTAACTGGGGTGGAGCCCATGCAACCTCAACAGAGAAGTGGCACCTGAAAGTGAGACTATGCTGAGTGAAGTGATGTTCTGCGCATCTGGTGGCTTTCCTTTCCCTGCAGTTCATCCAGATTATCAAGAGAAATATTGAGAATTACTTGAAAGGGATGATTTTTTCCAGATGATGAAGAAAATGGAACAGATTTTTCAGAGGCTGGTGATCCACACTTGGATGATACTGATGATGAGATGGACTCAGAGATTGAAGAAACTTATGAACAGCTTGGTTTGGCATCAGAGCATAAGCAAAAACAGTAAAGCTAAATTTCAGCATATCAGTTTCACAAAGCTATTTAGCTTGTGGTAATTTAACAGAACACAGGAAAGAAAGAACATGTGTTACTCTTATACCAAGTCAAGGATGTTGAGTTATGTTGCTAATGCACACAACTTTAATTTTGTTTAACAGTATCTCCCAAAATAACCTTTATTACCTCTCCCTGGGGGAAAAAAAGGGATTCTAAACAAAGATAAAATGCAGAGCATGGTCAGGAAAATATATGTGAATGGAAAATCGTTTGTTAAGAGAGCAGAAATATCAAAGTGGTGCCTCAGGTGACAGAACACAATGCAGTCTGACAAAAATCTCGTTGTCTGAGATTTGCCCACTCACATCAAATAAGGAGTTATAAGTAGCTAGTGAATAGTCCTAAAGACTGTAGACTGTCAACTTTCATTTAAAAAACACAAGCAATTCTGAATTTTTTCACAATTACACAACTTTAGAATTTTTCATACAACAGAAAAGACACAAGGTACATCAAAATGTTGAAATATCAGACACTGTTGCCCCACGTTCACTCCCCGCCTCTCCCTTGAATGGAACCCAATTACTCTTATCTAAGTTTCAGGAGGAAGCTGTATAGAGAGAAACACAAAGACTGATTAGAACCAACTTGGCCTAAGACTGCAGAGGATTTGACTTCCAGTCAACCCTAAGCCTTATTACAGGCTCATTGTAATATATTAGTATGCTAAGTGACATACCCAACAGGACATGACAGTTGACAATTGCCATAACAACTACCCAAAACTCCCATACAAGGATTGAAAAGGAGTTGCATCAGTGTGACTCCAACCACATCCTCGTTGTCATGAATATTCCTCCCACTCTTTCAAATCTCCACCCACTCCACCCTGACCAGACCCCATCCACCCCCCTCCATCCTTCCCCTTCACTTTGACCTTCCTATATATTTGGTGTCTCCAACTGAATTGGGTTGAGAAGCTGATTTGCGAGCTAGGTTACCACTTTGCCAGTCTTTGGCCATTGAATAAAGCTTGTGCTGTACCTGTCTCAGCATCTGTCTCATTATTGGCTGTGTGAACCTGATCAGACAAAGAACCTCCCTGGCTGATGCAAGGGGGACCTGGCCCTGGCTCAACCAATTGAGTAACAAACTGGAGGGAGAAGCAAGAGGGTGCCAGGCTAGAAAGGCCTTCCCAACAGGTGGAATGGTTCTCAAGCCCTGGGGCTGGCAGGAAAGTCACAGAGGTTCAAAGATTGGGCTGGGCAGAAACCTGGGGTTTAGGCGCCGATGCCTCTGGCGCCAGGTGACCATCACTGACGTAAGAACCCGGATGCCAGCGGAAAGGACTCGGGGCCCCACAGGAGCACACAGAGATGTAGTCTAGACGGCAACTGGGGGAGTCCCCGGACCTCAGTCCACCCTGCGAAAACTGGGGACAGGCCCATGGTGCCCAGTTTGCCCAGGTCACTGCAGGCCTGCACTTGGGTCCTCGTCGCCCACCTTCCCGGGAAGAAAACGAAAGCAGGAAAGAGTGACGCCAGAGTGGCCACCAACCAGGTAACAAACTGCAGGCTTGTAAAAGTCTCTGCTGCCAATGAACCAGATTGGATTAGTGTGGTCCCTGGTATTGCATTCCTGGGCCGCGTGGAGGATTCTGGGTTCTGTAGTCCCTGGATGAGCGGAAACACTGACGATTCTGGGTACTGTAGTCCTGGGATTGGCAGAGATACTGAGGATCCTGGGTACTGTAGTCCGCGGATGGGTGGCAGTGAGGGAGCGGGTAACAAACTGATACCTCTGAGCACTGCAGCCCCATGCTTAGGGGAGGGGGCACGCGTGGATTCTGGGTACTGTAGTCCCCAGAGAAGCAGAAACACTGAAGATTTTTGGTACTGTAGTGCCCAGGTGGGCAGCATGTCAAAGATTCGGGGTACTGTAGTGCAAGGGTGGGCGGGAAAGCCAAGAATCCTGGGCTCTGTAGTCCCCAGATGAGTGGAAACGCCAAGGGTTCTGGGTGCTGTAGTCCCAGGATGGGGCACACCAAGGATTGTGGGTACTGTAGTTCCAAGCCACAAGGAGGATTCTGGGCACTGTAACCCCAGGATGGGGGCACATCGAGGCTTCTGCATACTGTAGTCCCAGGCCAGGCAGGGGATCCTGGGTGCTACGGTTCCAGGCCTCTCGAGGCACTTCGGTCGCTGTCCCTGTTCCCTGTCTCTCGTGTCGACAAGCAGGACTCCCCACTTCCCTCTCCCGTGTGCTTTTCCCGTGGGAAAGGAGGGCTGTGCAAGGCTGATCCTGTGGAGAGGCCTGGTGGGGCAGAGCACTTACAGGCCTCAGGCCCAGTATTTCTGCTAGGGGGAGGGAAAGGCGATGGGGTGTGGTGCCACCAAGGACCCCAGGTCAGGGAGCCACCTGGTTTATTATCCCTCTTAGCAAGCTAAGAGGTTGCAAGGCAGAAGGCCCTTTTGTCAACCCCATGGATGTAGAGAATTGAAACATCCCAAGGTGCTCTCTACACTGCCCAGGGAGCTGTTGAATTGCCCAGAAGCAGAGTCAGCTTAGTAACTGGCAACAGGGGTTGACAGGACCAGGCTGGCCTGAGCTGGAGGACCATGAATGCCTGCCCAGATTGTCAGAGGTCAAGGGCTGTCCTGCCTGACTTGACTATCCCTTGATGCCCACTCAGATGGGACAAAAGGTCCAGCTAGTTCCAGGAGGGGACCACCAGCCCTCAGGAAGGGAGCACATGGTGGCTGACAGTTCCCTCCATCCAGTCCTGTGTACATCCACACTTGGCTACTGAGTGTCCTCGGTGCCAACACTGTGCTGGAACCTGGGGCTGCAGAGGCAGAGCGGGGACAGCAATGCCTTGCCCAAGTGAGAGGGCAGAGGAAAACACTGTGTGACTTCTGAGGCTCCACAAGCCTTGACTGAGATTGAGTTGGATTTGAAACAGTCAGTGACAACAACAGACATTTCACTCTTCTCTCAGATCCCAGGACTGGGGGGCAGAAAAACAGTGGTACAGTCAACTCCCTGACTCATGTGTGATGCTGGGCTAATCCTGCCAATCCTGGGGATGTGGGCGGGGCCTGCAGTGGTCCTGTTTTCCACCTCAGCCCCTTGGATGAAGCCAGGGCAATAGTGGGCTCAGGGGTCCCCTGGCATTGTTTCAAACTCAGACACAGTGGCTTTACAAAGGAACAGGAGAGTGAAGCTGAGCACCTGACAGCCACTCCTCTCTGGCCCTGAGCCGCTTCCATCAGGACCACAGTTCCCTGCATGGAGTCTGCTGTACCCACCTTCCCCGACCTGGGCTCTCCTCTTCCTCCCTGGACCCCTCTCCCAGGCCAGACACATCTTTCCATCGACTACATCCCCCTCTCACCTTGTGGCTCACAGGTCCCTCACAGGACTGTGATCCTGCAGCTCCCCACATCCCAGGTTGCTAAGCCCAGACACGTGGGGCCTCCCAGTCCCCCACTTTCCTTGTGCCCCGGTGACTGTCAGCTCTTCCTCCAGAGTCTATGGCCAGTCCCCACAGTACTTCCCAGCTATAGCCCTGGCCCAAGCTGGATCTTGTGCCCGGCTCCTTCATCAGGCCCTGACAAAACTCCTGCCCTTGTGACGCATCTCACATCCAGTCCCAACGTGGGCTTTCTGAAGCATCAATGAGATGGTGACTCTCTTCCACCTGTGGTTCGCCAGTTTCCCCACCTTGGCTGGGCTGTCTGCTGGAAGGGACATTTGTTGAGGTCCTGAGAGTCCCCGGCACCCCTGCTAGGCTGCTGGTTCCTGGGTTCCCTGACACTGCACCTCAGCAGGCCAGGTGGCACAGCCCAAAACCCCAGAATTGCACACCTCAGGAGGGGGCTGGCACTGTGGCTGCTCCATCAAAGAGAGCAGAGAAGGGCTCCCCAGCTGGGACACAAACACTGCATGGTAGCCTCTCCCTTACCATCACATCACCCCCGTGGGACACGAGGGAGGGAGGGACTGAGGCACGTGTTAGTTCCTCTGCAAGGTGGTACCGGCTCAGTTGTGTCCTCTCAGATTCACATACTCAAGGGGCTCCAGAAAACTGCACTCCTGGGGCTTCCCTTCCACTCCCTGTATCTTAAACTTACCTTTGGACGTTCTGCCATCGGGTGTTCAAGACCCAGGAGGTGGTGGTCAACCTTCTCACCCCCTAAGGTCAGGGTCAGCCGAGGCTCCTTGAGGGTAATTTCCAGGGTTCTGAGGAGCCCCTGGGCTCTTCCAGTCCTCTTCTTCCATGTGTGTGACCAGCAAGGATGGCCAAGACACAGCAGTCCACTTAGCTTCCCC